GTGTAAGCCGGAACAATATTGTTGTATAATACTGTATAAGTAGTATTATGTATTTAACTCGAACCATTAATACACAGTGATTCATCGAACTTGAACCATTGTGTATTTAACTTGAATTTTGCTACAGTAGGCTCCATTCTTAATTATGGGTCGTCTGTAACCCGAGCGTTCTTAATCCAGGGACTCCCTGTATTCAAAAACAAAAGAACAATATACCCTGCATATCATATGAATGGAATAAAGATGATCAACTCTGGCAAAAAGTTAGAGTTTTATAGCTGTGGTACAAGAACCAATGTAGACCTTTCAAGATATTGGACTGTACTCCTAGATAAAACTCTGTATCTTGAGCCTACGTATTTTTACTATGAACCATGGAACTGCAGAATATATAAAATGTAGACTCAGAAAATTCATGTGTAATTATTAACTTCTTTCTGTTTTATTTTACTGATTACTAGTTCTGTATGCTGTGAGACTATTGATTAAATTTGTCCACTATGCTCCAGCTAGTCTTCTTGACTGTCCAAGATAACTTTATGCTCTCGTGGCTAATGGAAATTAAGCTGATCTAAACCTTTGCAGATCTGCATGCAATATTGGTCTTGACTGGCCATGAAAAAGCTCTGTCTATCAGAAATAAAACAGCAGATTCTCAACCTAGATTTACAAAAGAACCCAAGCTCTACTCCAAAAATCAGTAATTTAGGCATGCCAAGGAGCATTCATAGCTGCCAAATACTTTATCAACATTTTGTGCCTAACGCTCAAAAAAACTTTTGCATTAACCAGACTAAATGTTTTACTTTTAGCTCTTTCAGAAAGGATTCATATAAACCGGTCTATACCCATGTTCCTGGGAGGAAATGGAATCAATAATACACATCTTTCTATAATGACCTTTGTTTTCAAATTGGCATTAAAAAGTTTAGTTTAATTTCTTTCAGCAACCAGGCATAGCAAAACAGATGCCAGTCTTATTTTTCCCGTCAGAGATGATCTCCAGGAGAGGCCAAATTGTGCTGGAGTAGCATTCCTGTTCATCATGCCATAGTTTAGTTTTCCCTGTTTAGAACCTTAGGGTTTCTCAGGATAGAATTTTAAAGCTGTAATCTTAGTATTTTACACTGCTAAGTAGCAGTCAGTGATAGTTAACCAATTTTTATCATTCATTGATATCTAAAATTAGGTATGCTAGACTTATCACTGAAATAGTTCAAACTTTTAGTCATAATTGAATTAACATTTAAGTTCTTAATTCCTTTTGTTTTTAATATTTTATTCCTTTTGTTTTTACTAACTGATAATTTGTTTAATAGTCATATTACTTTAGCAAATTAGCTCTGTATTTTTTTATGTCCTGTTTTGTTTTGTTATGGTTCACCTCTGTCCCATTTTGAAATTATATTTAATTTTGGTTGTTGACTCCAGGAATAAAGCTACTACTGCTCCTTAATTCACTGAACTCAAACTTTGTTTTAAACCTTGGTTTTAATCTGGAATCTGAAGTTGTCATTCTTGTACTATGTCCTTAGAGGAGTACCCATTCTTTCCGTGGGTGATTGTAAATTAAGAAGACATTCCAGTCCTGGTTAGTAGATTTATAGCTATGTAATCAAGGTATGGTAGCTATTACAGTTAAATTAAATGAGAAGGCAAACGTGTGCTTCTTTTCTTTTCTTTTTCATGTGCAGCAGGACGTACACTGGCCTATTTCTGAGTTTTGTGTCCATTCTGATTCTGCTCTTCTTACTTTACAACTGCTTCTGATCCCAGCCTATGGCCTCTCTTGAGCTTTGAGCCAGGCCTGCTGAATAGCAGAGCAGTTTTGCAATAGGAATACTCCACCCCTTGGTGTCCCTGTGGGTAGGGCAGACTCAGTGACTTCAGCAGCACTTTACAAGGGGAGGTTGGGAATACAGCCTCTTCATGCACAGCCAAACATATGTGCATCTGGTCTAGTCCTGCACATGCCCTGGAGCAGAGAAAGAACTTGGAAATGCTCCACCTTCTTCCCTCTGCATCTCCTCCTTTGCTTCCCACAGTCACAGGATCTTGTAAAAAAGTGCCTGAGGAACGGGATACAGGGATCTTAGAAAGAAGATCATTTGGATTAGCAAGCTAACTTGGCAAAGTCATAGCACTGATACTGGCTTGTTCTTCATTTATGAAAAAAGTAAACTGAAATATATAAGAATAGAAAAGTGGTTGCAATGACTATACAGGTAGTCCCCGGGTTAAGAACGCCTGCTTTAAGGACGACCCATAGTTAAGAACGGAGCCTATTGTAGCAAAATTTGAGTTAAATGATTCCAGTTAAATACACAATGGTTTGAGTTCATATTACTTACACAATACTACTTACTACTACTTGCTACTTACCGCTTACATACAAATTTGACTTAAGGACAGACCTTGAAAACAGAACTCATTCTTAAACTGGGGGCTACCTGTATTAACCTCTGCTTCTGAGCCTTTAAAATCAGTTTGATTTGCAGATGTTAGCAGGTGGTAATACTTTTCACAGTATAAGTATAACCACCTGACTTTTGTAGCTAACGCTGCCAGATGCCTAAGAAAATGCAAAATCTTGTTTTTCCCTCCATACTGGCCAGGTGACCACTTCAGATATTAATATTAATTATCTTTTTTTTTTTTGCATTTTTTAGGTCTTCAAGAAATTTTCCAGTTTTTTTTTTAAATCTTAAAAGGCACAAGGACATATTTTTACTCCAAATGTACATTGGATTTATATTGTTATAATTCCCACCCCCACCCCAAAATCTTGGAAATTGTGTAATGTGCTGAGAATTATGTTAAGAGATCCTTAGTCCTCTTTCTTAGAACAACAAATTCCCAGGATTACCTGGCAAAGTAAATGACTGCTAAATTTATTTGTATTAACTCCCTGTTTATTCCCAGTAGCATGTTAGTGCTTGCAGAATGGTGCATCAGAGTCCTTGCTTCCTAAAACTGTAGAGATGGTCACCTAAACAATATGAACAAGGGGAGAAGCTGCATCCTTTGGCATTATAGACAATATTGAACATTACCCACCAGTGGAGTTCAAACCTTGCACTAAACCATAGTTGGTTTAAACTGGTGTGCTGAATCACAATTGGCTGGATTTGCATAACATGAGAAGCCAGAAACTATGGCTTACAAACCAAAATTGCTGAGTTTCTACAGTGTGCTAAGTCAAACCTAAATAGAGCTCATTATGATTTAGTGCAAGCCAATATGCGCTCACTAGATTAAGGCAACAGTATTCAGTGGGGCAATCACAATCACCAATAAGAATGAATATGCTAGTTAGAAAACTAGTTCTGCAGCAAATTGCTGTTTGGATACTGAAAAATGTTTTTGGATGGAAGACCCCTTGCTCTTTTGAAACATATGAGCTCTACATTTGTTGCACAGAGGCAGGAATTGTCTGTAAAAAGAGCCCAAGCTGAGAATGTTCTAACCAAATTTACTTGCTGACTGTATGATTATGACATCAAAGATGTCTTGGCCAATGATAGCAAGGCTGTTTTTTTCCCCCTTCCTTTTATGCTATCCTCTCTGATGGTGGCAGTGTTTGGGGGCCTTTGTTACATTCAGGGGTTCAGATCCATCGGGAGGGTGGAACTTCTGATCATCCTGGATGAGGAAACCTCTTTACTTCTCCCCATCCGGGGACTGAAGGCAATTGACCAGGGACCGCTTTGGGTCAGGATGGGTGGTGTGAGGGGGAAGGGGCTTGAAATTCCCTGAAGCAAACCTCCTCTGGCCCATTCTGATCTCACAAATGTATGTTTTAGTTTTACTTAACTTGTAAATGCTTCCATGTCTAGGAAGCAGATGAGAGGAAGAAATCTTTGTCCCAAGGGTCTCTCCCTCTGATGCAGACCCAGTGTGAGTAAATTAACTGGGGTCTTTGTATCAAAAGGAGACAAGAGAATTCTTCTGTCTACCACCTTTGAACCTTTTCAGCAAGGCATTCTACACATGTAACTTACAGCTCCTTTATACGCGCAGTGATTAGAGGTCAAAGTTGTCCATTTATGAAGAACTGAAAGAAAAATTAGACTGAATGCAATGGGAATTCCACACATTTCACTGTGTTTTTGTCAGCTGCAGTGGAGTCTTGTCTTACTAGCTGTCTTTGCCTTGCCTGTCCCAGCAACCACTTAATGAGTTCTCTCTCCTTGCCATGCAGCCTTATGTCTCAGTGGCCCAGCAGATGGCACCGCCAAGCCCCAGTGGCAGCTGCAACAACAATAGCAGCAGCAGCAGCAGCAGTGGGCCAGGTGGTGGCGGAGGTGGCGGGGACCAGCTGAGCAAAACCAATTTGTATATCCGGGGCCTGCATCCTGGTACCACCGATCAGGATCTTGTCAAACTCTGCCAACCGTAAGTTACTGTGATCCAAGAAACATTGAGGGTCAGTCATACGGTGGGAGGTAAATGATCCAGGGGCCAAATGTGGTATGCTTGCCATCTGCACCTTGGTCTGTAGTACTCTGTTTCCAGTGGGAATTGAACTTAATGGCCATCCCCAGTACTGAATGCTCTCCACCCTTCCTGAATTCAGCAAAAAACTATACCGACATGAAATGTGTGTCCCCATTGCTGATCCCTATCCTGCCACTATGGCCTCTCTTTCAAGCCACTACAGTCCGTGACGGTGACAAGTCCTAACTTGTCTATGTTAACTCTTGTCTTGTCTAACTCTTGAGGCTGCTCTTGGATAGAGGTGGAAAAAAGGGGGAAATAGTTCTGTAACGCCAGTACAGCTAAGGATGAATTAAGCCTCTCATTCACGGGGCAACATGAAGGCAGTCATATGGGACATAGCAGAATTTTTTTTTATACATATTTAGGTGCAAGTGGCGTGGTTTGTGCATTATTGTAATTTGATTGGGCAAAGTTGGGGAAAGGCTCTTGGAGAGGATATGTTCCTTCTCCCTGCTAAGGTAGATGGGCCCAAGTGATGTTGCAACAAGCTCTGCAAAATCTATGATTTACCAAGAAACATAGACAGTAAGCCATATTCTGATCATGTTCCTATGCCGAGGCCATGAGACTATCCACATTGATGTCCGTTCCTTCCTTTTCCTCATTCTGCAACTTAAACTGGAGCCAAGCCTGAAAGTGTATGGGCGACAGCTTGGCATTCTTCTACCTGGCCCATTTAGGATATTCTGGGTGAGAAGTCAAGAAACTAGGATAAATGTAAGTTCCTCCCAGCTCTTTGCATCTCTTTGATGAAAGACTATGGGAAGCTGGCAACATCAGATCTGAATCCAACCCTTCTGCTCTGGGTTTTACAGTACCTCAAACTAAAGTACAGCCTGAATAGGAGGGTCATTATTTGTAGGAAGCTGATCAGGTTTGGAGTGCTGCTATGCTGTGGATCACCTGATTCTTGGACCCTTGTGGAAATCTGTGATTCAGTGTCCTTGTTTTAAGGATGTCAAAAGCCTAAGATCTTACTGCTGTGGTTTCCATGTTGAACGCCCATGTCCTCCAGAAGCTCAGCCCAATATTCAAGTCTCGATTGATAAGAAATGTTACTTTGGTATCTCCCTGATTTTCCAAGTTATCTAAAGAGTGATGGGAAGGTGGCTGACTCCCAGCTAAAGAGTTCTGAAAGCGACTTCCGAGGAAAAAAAAAGTTGAAGGGGGCTAAGTGGAGTGCAGTCACGTACACATTGCCTGCAGCAACATATTGACATAGGGAAGTCTGTGGCTCCCTAATTGCCTGCCACAGTTTGCTCTACTCTTCGTCTCCAAGCCTTGCAAGAAGGAGACTGAGCGAGACTACAGTACTTGAAGCTAGGAGGCCAGGAGGGGTGGGTGGGCGGGGCAGGGGGGCTGGTTCCTCGGTTTACCTCAGCTCACCCTGGTCTGGAATGCTGGATCTGGCCCCAAAGCCACACTTGACAAACACGCCTGCTTCATACCAGGAATCTGCCCAGCTGAGTGTGAGAGAAGGGATCATGGATGAGAGCTGCCAACAGCGGGGAGCTTGGGGAGGACAGAAGGGAAGGGAAGGAAACAAGGCCAGAGCCTAATATTGGCAGGGGCTGGGATCTGGGGATTCTGGGCTGCATTCTTGATTCTGCCTGTATCTTGCAGCCTTTATGTGCAGTGCCCTCCTCCTGCTGGGCCCTAATTCCCACATCTGCAAAGCAGTAGCCCCCCCCCCCCCGCCTGTTGGCTCTCTCGCCAACACAACCCCTTTTCATGTGTTCTCTCTCCTTCCCACCCACCCCCCCGTCCTCCCCCCCGCTCA